TAAAATATATTTTTAAAAAATAAAAATAAAAAAAGTAAACCGTTAAAAAGGATTAGAGAGCCGAGACTGGTTTGGCTCAGTGGATAGTCGGCCTGCAGACTGAAGGGTTCCGGGTTCAATTCTGGTCAAGGGCATGTACCTTGGTTGCGGGCACATCCCCGGTGGGGGTGGTGCAGGAGGTGGCTGATCAATAATTCTCTCTCACTTATGTTTCTAACTCTCTATCCCTCTCTCTTCCTCTCTGTAAAAAATTAAAAATATATATATATTTTTAAAAAGAATTAGAGAGAAAATTATAGATGTGAAGGTCAGATATAGGAAATCCAAAATAGGCATAATTCGGGACTATGAAGAGAATGAAAATAATGGCAGTAAAAAAAGTGTATCATTCCAATGGATTCACATATCTGGCAACGTTCTCAAATAAAATCCCAGAATGTATTCTAATTATAAAAACCTACAAATGATAGGGAGAAGGGCATGGATTAAGAACAAAGCCACACCTCTCCCTTCCTCTCTGAAATCAATAAAGATATATTAAAAAAAAAAAAGAACAAAGCCATAGGTGTTTAATGATTGTCCACCTTACTAACTACACATGAGAGGTTTTCTTACAGACCCCGGAAACTGGAGGAGAAACAAGGCTGTAGAAAGACCAGGGGCCTCCAAGGGTCCATTTCTCAGAAAAGCACGTTTTGAGAACAAAGGACAGGACAGGCTTTAATTTGGTTGCTGTACCCGGACCTGGACCCACTCGGAGTTGGCCTCAGGAACAGCTGAGCTGTTTGTAGATTAGCTGCCCTTCTATCAGACTCTGAAGGCTGGACTGCAGACCAGACCCTCCCTTTCCCTGTTACACTTGCTGCTCCAAGCTGCATGTAGTTATCTTTTTCCTCTTCCAAATACAATCAGCCCACTGGTGATGGGGGTCAGAACAGAATTTACAGGTGACTGACTGCTCTCCCCAAACTATTGGAATAAATATTCATACATGAATATTTCCGCTTAATTTGGCTCTAGAAGAGACAGGGAGCCTCAGACCCATTGTGTTTAGTACCACAATTAATGACATGTAACACATATTCTTTTACAAATGTTCTTTGAGCAACACTGAAGTTAGCCAGAAATATTCTTTTCTCATCTCCTCCTTTCCCTGAGCTTCTAACTTGAGCTAATGCCCACCTAAAGGGCAATTAGTGGGTCTATTTTATATGCTCTCTATTCTCTCCTAATTTAAAAATGTGTATTGTATCTATATTGTCAGAAAATGTAATGATCACATACTATCTGTAACCCTTACTTCCACAATTTGAATTTAGGTGTGTGCTGTTTGTGGTTTTTTTTTTGTTTGTTTTTTGTTTTTAACTGAGGTGAAATTCACATAAAGTTAACCATTTTAAAGTGTACAACTCAGTGACACTGAGGACACATATATTTAAAATACTGTGTAACCAGCACCTCTATTTAGCTCCAAAACATTGTCAACCCCAAAAGGAAAGCCTGTGCCCATTAAGCAGTTACCACACATTAGTCTTCCCCCAGACCTTCGCCCGTTTTCAAATTGGGTTGTCTTTTTGTTGTTGAGTTGTAATTCCATATAAATTTGAGGAACAGCTTTTTCGTTTTTATGAAAAAAGGCCACTGGAATTTTGATAGGGATTGTATTGAGGCTGTACACTGCTTTAGATAGTATTGCCATCTTAATAACTATATCTTCCAATTCATAAACATGAGATGTACTCGAATCTTTTTGGTCTTTTTTCTTCAGTGATATGTTAGCTTTCAGGGTACAAGTATTCCATTTCCTTTGTTAAATTTATCCCAGCGTCTGAGCCCGGGACATGCTCCCGCCTGCCAGTCACCCAGCCCTCTGGGTTCCTGGGTTGTCACGGTGTCGCAGCGCGCATGCCCGAGTAACTCGTCATTGGCTTAATAACTGCCCCGAAGCACAAGAGGCCTGGAGCCGGCAGTTCAGATGTGCCAAAGAGAAGTCAGAGCTTCCTTTAAGTGAAAAGGAGAAGATTCTCGACTTAATAAGGAAAAATAATTTATATGCTAGGTCTTTAAGATCTCCAGTAAGAACCAATCTTCTATCCACGAACTTGTGAATGAAAAAGAAATGCTAATAGTTTTGCTGTTGTACTTCTAACTGCAAAGATTATGGTCACATGAAGTGGTAAGTGCTTAGATTGGAAAAGACATTAAACTTGTGGGTGGAAAACATGAACAGAAAACATATAAGCAGTTCTTGGGTTACGTCAGACTCAACGTATGTCGTTTCGTGGTTAAGTCGCAATCTCCCATTTACTAAAAAAAAAAAAAAAGTTCCATCATTTTGACTGTACATAGGTGCTTTATGTTATTTATTTACAAGTAAGTCAGGAATTGTTATCTAATTTTTTTTTTTTACTGTTTCACTTCGTTACTGTGTGTGTACTCCATGTGAGTGACGTAGGAGCTTATGTAGGTGGGTTCTTACGGCGGAAATCGCATTACATTGTGCCATAGGAGCGGATCTCCGACATAACCCGAGGACCTACTACACACACACACACATACATACATACATACATACAGTACCAAACCATTTGGTACCATCTGAGGATTCAGGCATCCACTGGGGATACTGGAACATACCCCCTGAAAATAAGGGGAACTACTACTGTACTGCATGGTCTCACTTCCCTTCAACTTGAAAAACCTCCTTTAGCATTCTTATTAGGTTTCCTAACAATGAAATATCTGAGAAGGTCCTCATTTTGTCTTCATGTCCCATCATTTTGCTACATGTAAGATTCTGGGTTTTCCTTTCAGCACAGTGCATGTCATTTCATTGCCTCGGGCCTCCACTCTGTCTGGAAATCAATCTTTAATCTTGTAGGGTTTTCTTATACACGAGCGGCTGTTTTCAAGCTTTTCCTGTCTTTTAACATTTTTATTCTGACATGTCTGGGTGTGGCTCATTCCACTTTAAGAATTTGTTGATCTTAGAGGCCAGGCCCGGAGCAGCCTGGCCCAAAACAGCTCGCTCCTCACCTGCCCCTGCCCCACGGCTGCCTCTCAGACATGGCTGGAAACTTTTGCGGGAACTTGAGGGTCTGCTGAATCAAGTGATGAAGGCTTAGATCTAGATGTGTTGAGTTAGTATAGTGCTGGGGTGTTGATCTGTGAGTGCCTTGGGTGGGGCCTGGATGAGGCTGGTTGTCCTATTTGGAAATGTCTTTTGTGTGAAGTGTATCATTGGGCATGTGGAGGTATTACTGATATGAGAAAATGCTAAGTAACAGATTTGCTATCTGAAAAGGGATTTACTATCGGGGAAAGGGAGGGAGGAAGAGACTGACATAAACTGTGCACCAATGGATGCAGATGAGGGGGCAGAGGGTGGGGTGGGAACCTGGTGGAGGGGGGAAGAAACGAGGAACCTGTGTAATAATATGAACAATTTTAACTATATTTTTAAAAATTAAAGTCTCTGAAATTGTCATAAGTGCATAAAGCAAACAAAAATAATTATTCAAGAAATTCTTACTAACTCTTGGTAAAGAAAGGTGAGTCTCTGCTGTTTGAGCCATGACCCCATGCCCTTCCCCCCCAGCTTCCAATCTCAGCCCACAGCTTCTCTGTAAACCAGTTGTTAATCTCAGTGGGTTTATGAGTGAGCTGGGCAATATTATTGTTTAAAAACAAAAGATTGATTAAAAACAAAAAATCTAAAAAAAAAAAAAAAAAGAATTTGTTGATCTTCTTGGTTTCATGTTTTGTTTTGATTAACTTCGGGATTTTTAGGCATTTCTCCTAATAATTTTTCCGCTCCCTTTCCTTCCGGCACTCCCATTACACACATGGTGATGTCTCATGCTTCTCAAGGGAGCTCCTTTTGCTTTTTCCTCCGTGTCCGGTCATTTCCTGTTTCTTTGCACACTTTTTAATTTTTTGTTGGGATCTGGACACTTAAATATAGCAGCCTGGGCGCTCATCCCCCCTCCCAGGGCTTATTTGTGTATTTTAGAGCCAGAGGTGGACTTACTTCAGTGAAGTCCACTTACCCTGCGAAGAGAAGCTTCTGGTGAGCGTGAGCTGTAGCTCTTGATTCCCTCTACCCCAGTGAGTGTCAGCAGGGCCCTCTGTTGTTCACTTCCCCGATCTCCTAGTGAGGGGCTTAGTTGGCCAGCTTCTACTGTTATACCCACTAATTCTAGCAGACCATTCCATTGTTTCTTACAAGCCCTGGGTATATATTGCTGCAGTTTTATCCAATTAAAATCAAGCACTTGTCTTTGAGGCCCGTTCCAACCTTAGGGCTACTTGGCTGCACGTTAATTTCTGGGGCAAGCCTCTGTGCATTCGCCCGAAGCTGGGGTGGGAAAGTAGCCGTTTTCTGGGAGTGATACCTGTGGTCTTACAGGCAGAGCAGTAAGTGGGAGCCCCTGGTGTCTGCTTGCCTCTCTTGCATGAAACCTCCACCCTAGTCACTACTGTCCCAGTTTAAGAGTAAGCCAGTTGTTAATCTCAGTGGGTTTATGAGTGAGCTGGGCAACAGTGGTTAGGAAACAGTCTGCTTGGTCTGCCATTCCCAGGGTTGATCTGTGCCCCAAGTGGGGCCCGGGTAGAAGAGAAATGGGGCAGTCTGCTCCTCTTACAGAGAAGCTGTGGGCTGAGACTGGAAGCTGGGGGGGAAGGGCATGGGGTCATGGCTCAAAGAGCAGAGACTCACCTTTCTTTACCAAGAGTTAGTAAGAATTTCTTGAATAATTATTTTTGTTTGCTTTATGCACTTATGACAATTTCAGAGACTTTAATTTTTAAAAATATAGTGTTTACAAGTTATGGTTGTTTCAATGAGTCTGTAGATCTCCTCATGTTGCCATCCTAAAAACACTTCATGCATGCCTTAAAATAAAGCATTCAGGACTCTTGAAATATGGCAATACGCTCACAACCTGAAAAATTTCTCCTCTGCCATCAGTTGATTCAACATCGACATGCAGCACACAGAATAAATAAGCAGTTCTTTAAGTTAGGCAAACATATTCCAGACATGAAGTGTTTATCATTCATTTACAAGTGCAGTCTGTTACACCAGTAACTGTTACTTGACCTGTTGTATAAAGTAAATAATGCATGTGAATTAGTCCTGAAATAGTTCCTTGAATTGTTTCCAATCCAGTGAATTAAAAACACAACTGTCAATGGTATAAAGGCGTGAAAATCATATTGTGATAAAAGCAATTGCAAAAATAGAGAATTCAGATCCCACCCAGATAATTTAAGAATTCAGCAGTTTCCCTCCATTTAATCGTGAGCTCCACACAGAAAATATTAAAGATGTCTTTCAATGTGATGCAACTGTATAAAACTAGAATATGACCATTAGAAGACCAATGGATCAAAACCAACAAAAAAAAAACTTAGAAAACACATCTAATTCTAAAATAAGCAGAAATAAAAAGACAATTTACAAAGAATTATAACTGCTCCCTAATCATCATCATCAGAGTCCGAATCATATTTCTTTCCTCGGATAGTTTTTTTTTCCAGCTTTGTGAAGTTTGTTCCAATTTTCTTTTGGCTCTGAAATGGTGGCTCCATTAAATTTCCACTGAAAATAAAGCAAATATGAAAATCACTTATTCTTTATGATTTAGTACAGAAAAACATATTTTTTCTCTCATTATAACATATGAGAGTAAATTTTTCTTTAAAAAGCTAGTGTCAAGAAAGAGGTATATTTATCCATAATGTTGGTTAATAGTGGTAAACTTTACTTTGTACTACTAAAGGTTTAAGATCAATGTATTATTTTCTCTTTTATCATTAACATTTCACAGGATGCCAACAGAATTTCTGACTAAAAAGCAAAGAAGAAAACCAAAGGTTTTTTCTCATCTGTTCTGGATATGCTGAACCTTTCACAGTGCAAAGGACACACAAAAAAATGCTGCTGTATTTTGACAGCCTGTTAGGACAGGTTCGATTCTGTTTAACAACATTTAATGTTTAGATTTCTACAGAAATCACCAAAACTCATGGAAGTTATTATCATAACTTCATATTATATCATAACTTATCATATTCAAACCGGATTGGTTTGAAACTCTTTTTCAATGATGCTTGAGAAAGATGCTTGAGAAATGAAATATGACAATATCTTTTTTCAAAAATATCGGGGAGTTACCTAGCACCTAGATCTTGTTTAAAGTTCTTTACTGTTGAAACTTTTACATGTCTCTTCCCCACACCCATTGACCTCCCTCTCCCCCCTATTGTCTGTGTCCATCGGTCATGCTCATATGCATGCATACAAGTCCTTTGGTTGATCTTTTACACACACACACACACACACACACACACACACACACCCCCCCCGCCAATCCCCTGCCTTCCCTCTGAGGTTTGCCGGTCTGTTCAATGCTTCTTCTGGATCTATTTTTTTAAAAAAATACATTTTATTGATTTTTTACGGAAAGGAAGTGAGATAGTTAGAAACATCGATGGGACAGAAACATCAATCAGCTGCCTCCTGCACGCCCCCTACTGGGAATGTGCCCGCAACCAAGGAACATGCCCTTCACTGGAATGAAACGCGGGACCTTTCAGTCCACGCTCTATCCACTGAGCCAAACTGGTTTTGGCTCTGGATCTATTTTTGTTCACTGGTTTATGTTGTTCATTATATCCCACAAATGAGTGAGATCATGTGATATTTATCTTTCTCTGACTGGTTTATTTCGCTTAGCGTAATTCTCAGCCAAGGATGTGTATTTATTGGTGCCCTAACCTTAGATTGAACCCGCAACTTAGGTATGTACTCTGAATAGGAATTGAACCTGCAACCTTTGGGACGATGCTCCAGCCAACTGAGTCACTGGGCCAAGGCTAGATCTTGGCTTTGAAATATCACTTGCCACTGAAAGGAACCATGGCTCCTTGGAGAAATAGCCAATTCTAGGGAGAGTACATGAGTGCCCCTAAAACATCTTATTTGTACCAGAAAGCAAGTGCTCAAACACTATGGGGACATGACCAAAGGATATAGATGCCAGTATGAAAGGAGCTCTCACTGCTCTAACCTGGGGCAATCTGAACTTCAAATAACAGCAAAAGAACATAACCCATTGAATAAAATAATCTACAGCCCATTCTAATAGAAGTAAACAAGTAAAAATTAACGTGAGATATGGAAAAGTTCTTCCTTAAATCACCATTTGGTCTGGTAGACAACTGGTTAACCAGTGCTCAGTTATTCTCACTAGAAATGAGGCAAACCATCACATGCCTCCTGATATGGTGCACTAAGAAGGAAGAACACATCAGTTCTATGATATAACTGTGAAAAAATGCATAATCTGAATCTAAACTTGAAACATTAGACAAACCCGTTGGGGATTGCTCTGTAAAATAAATAGCTTGTTCTTCCAAACCACCACAGAACTGAAAAGTAAATGAAGGGTAACAGGTTGTTACATGTTAATGAAAACTAAAAACACGTTAACTCCAAGCAGTGCATTTTCTTATATGTAGGGCATTATTGGAATTTGAATAAGGTCTATAAATTACCTCAAGTTCCTGTTTTAATAACTGTACTGTCATTACATAAGAAAATATACACAAAAAGTATGTAAAGGAAAAATATACCTACAATTTCTACTCAAATGATTCTGAAAAAAATATATAAATTTAAGATAAAGCAAATATAAAGGGTTTAAAATAGGGAACATGAGCCGAAACCGGTTTGGTTCAGTGGATAAGAGCGTCAGCCTGCGGACTAAAAGGTCCCAGGTTCAAATCCAGTCAAGGGCATGTATTTGGGTTGCAGGCACACCCCCAGTAGGAAGTGTGCAAGAGGCAGCTGATCGATGATTCTCTCTCATCGATGTTTCTAACTCTCTATCCCTCTCCTTTCTTCTCTGTAAAAAATCAATAAAATATATTAAAAAAATAAAATAGGGAACATGAGTGAAGGGAATAGTAGCATTATTTGTATTATTCCCAAATTAAAGTTTGAAATCATTTCAAAATAAGTAATTTTTAAAAACATTAATATTTTATTTGGTATCAAGAAAATAATACCTAAAATTCCCAAATCAACTTCTACGATGTAGGAATCATTTAGACACGTGTAGGAAAGATTCAGAGGAAAAGGGGTAGAGAAGGGAAAAGGCGAGAGGACTTCTATTTATTGAAAGGCACAATGACTGTGGAATGACAACCAACTATTCTTGCAAATCAAGAACAGGCTTTAGTAGCTGGTTTGGCTCATTAGTTTAGCATCAACCTATGAACCAGGTCATGTTCGATTCCTGGTCAGAGCACAGGTGCAGGCTTGATCCCCAGTAGGGGGCATGCAGGAGGCAGCTGATTGATGACTTTTTTTCATCATTGACGTTTGCTTCCCTCCCTCCCTCCCTCCCTCCCTCCCTCCCTTCTTCCCCCTCTCCTTTCCGATCCCTGAAATAAAATAAAAATAATAATAATAATAATAAAAGAACAGTAACAAAAATGAACAGGCATAGAGGCCCTGGATGGTGTTGCTCAGTTGTTAGAGCATCAGCCCACACACCATAGGGTCATAGGTTTGAGGACATACTTGGGTTGCAGGTTTGATTCTGGTCCTGGTTTGGGGCATGTGCAGGAGGCAACCAATTGAGGTGTCTTTTTCTCCCTTTCTCTTTCCCTTACCACCCCCTCCCTCCCTTGTAAGAATCCATGCAGCCCTGGCTGATGTTTCTTAATGGTTAGAATAGGGGTGTCGAACTCAATCAGAGAAGGAGCCAAAATCTAAAATCCAGCCTAAATCGCGGGCCGAATGGTTTACTGAACAGTCATAAACTGTCATTGTGATGGAAACGCAGCGGAGTGCAGTGATGACAGCGCGGTGCGGGCCACATTGCAAGGCCTGGCGGGACGGATTTGGCCCGCGGGCCTTGTGTTTGACACATGTGGGTTAGAACAATGGCCTGCTTACTGAAGGTTACAGGTTTGATTTCTAGTCAAGAGCATGGACCTGGGTTGTGGGTTTGCTTTCTGCCTCTGGTTGGGACGTACGTAGGAGGCAACCAATTGATGTGTCTCTATCACCTCAATTTTATCCCAGCCTTACCTCCTTTCTTTTTGCCCCCTCCCTCCTCCCCTCCTTCTCTCCCTCCCTTCCACTTTCTCTCTGAAAAGCAATGGGGAAAATATCCTCTGGTGAAGATTAATAAAAAAAGAACAGGAACAAAGGGTAAGATGATATGCTGTAATTTGTGGAATTTGATAAATTATTTGTCTGGAGAAATGGACAAAGAGGTGAATGAAAAAAGGAAGTTGGATTTTAGATTGTTTTCAAAGTGAGACTGTTACCCAAATAAGCAATTTAAGCTAAGCACGGAAATGAGATTCTATAAATCTAATGTTTGAAAGTAAGTCACTATCAATTTGAGTAATCTGGTTTAAAACAGGGAAAAGTTCATTCCTGGTGTCATTTTGAGTTTCCAGATTACATGGGATTAGATGCAATAGGATCTGTTAGGCTGAGAACTTTTATAGTGAGGTGCATTCCAACACTCAACTTTATCCACAACTGATTTTTGCTGTGAGGTCATGCTAATAATGAACACTTTAAGAAATATGCTCTTCCTTTGTGGAAGTTTTTCTACATGTCAGCTAAAAGATCTTGATTCCATAAAATAAACGTTCACATAAAACAATCTCCTCTAAAAATATCACTGAAAATGTGAATTAAAATAAGTCTTTTGTTAAAAGGTACCTGTAATTGATAATATCAGAGCAACCAAGCCTCCACTCTAAAGTCTCCGTGGTGAAGTCATCTGTATTTCCCAGGTCAGTAAACCCAGTGACGTAATCTTGCGTTTTCCCATCTTTCACCAGTGCTAGTGTGGGGATGACTTTGATCTTCAGTCTCTCGCAAAGGAAAGGTGCTTTTTCCACATTCAGCTTCAAAAATTTGGTCTCCAGGTGTTTCTTGGACAATATCGCTAAATGTTTGTCTAGTATTTTACACCTGTAAATAACAAATACAGAAAATCAAAACCCAAAACAACAAAGTTCTTTTTAAAGAGGAATGTCATTAACCTGTTAACCGAGCGGGACCTATGAATACGTCAAACGTAAACAATATCGGGTATGGATAGGACATATGAATACGTCCTTGAAATATATGTTGCGCCCTGAAACAGGCGGGACGTATATTTCCGAACAAAGGTATTAGTCATTCATAAATGTCTCCACATGAATTTAAGACACGGAGGGAATCAGTATAATTTCGCTAGTGAGAGTGGTAGGCGTGTTCAACAAGAATTGTTTTGGAGTTAACACATGACTTACTGAATAAAGGGTATAGGATTTACTTAGATAATTTCTATAGGTCATTTCATTTAGCTGAACTCTTGTGTCAAAACAATACAGACATTGTTGGAACAATGAGGATAAACAGAGTCGGAATCCCCAGTGAAATAAAAACAAAAAAATTACAGAAAAATGAATATATAGTAGGATTCAAAGACAAATTATGGTTTTAAAATTGAAGGATAAAAAAGACGTATTGATGCTCAGTTCTATTCATAATGACGAAAAGACAATGATTGAAAAGAGAGGAAGAAGGCAAGAAAAACAGAATGCTGTCCTGGATTATAACAAGAATATGGGCGGCGTAGATCTGGGAAATGGAGTTATGGTGGCCTACACGATTGATATGTGCTGCTTCAATGCATATATTATATACAAAAAAGATAAAGGTCACTTGGATTTATAACACTTTTTGATAGTGTAGAGAAATTGGTAGATGACAACATAGTGAAAACCCACCCAAAGACATCAACAAGCAGCTCTACATCTAAACCATCACGCTTAGTTGAAAGGCATTTTCCAGAACAAATGAAAAGCGATATAGGAAAAACTAAATCCAGGAAATGCCGAGTTTGCTACAAAAAAGGTGTTAGGAAAGAATCTACATAGTGGTGTTCAGATTGTAAGATAGCACTATGTATCAACAATTGTTTTAAAATATATCACATGCAAGTTGAGTTTTGAAATTTTACATCTATAATTTTTTAAACTCAATATTTCTATTTGTGTGCTTTTGTTTATTGTTCTGTAATTGTTAACTTTTTTATATTTTTTATTATGTATCAAGATAAAAAAATATATTTTTTGTAATCTTTCTAATTGTTTGCAAAATTTATAATTTTTTAATTCTGTTTCCATTTTTTTGTTGGTATTCTTTTCTATTTGTTTGTAATTTTGTATTTTCCTTTCTACTTTATATATAAATAAATGAAAAAATATATATTTCAGTCTTTTCATTTATTTTAAGTATAAATTAAAAAAAATAATATGAAATTACATCCTCCAGGTGTGACGTACGGACACGTCCTAGTGAAAGAGTACGCGCCCGTTCTATGTTGCGTAATTAGAAAGAGAACTCCCCGGTTAACAGGTTAGGTAAGGCGCACCTAACTTTACAGTTTATCCGTTTGAGTCTCAGACTTGGGTAGCCAACTGGTGCTGTGTTAGGTGCCCTCACTTCCACCTCAGAGCAGCTGCCTGATCATGCGAGGCAGAAAAACAAGGCAGTATTCTAAGAAGTCAGATTTGCTTTAGTGACATCTATAGAAAACATTCAACATATGCCTTAAATTGTAAGTGCTTCACAAAGTTATGTTCGTGACAACAACAAAAAATTGTAATTTCTTTTATGCATGATTCCTGGTATCTTATATGGGAAGCTTGAAGGGTGACAAATCTACCTTGATGGACTGAGACACTCTCAGAATTAGAAATGTGCATCTGGTGCCATATGCGCAGGCCTCCAGGAAAGACCGATCGGTGCCCGAGAAGGAACACTTCTAGCTGTGCACCTCTGTCAGCGAGAAGCACATTAAAGTCAGGGCTGTAAGTATGGGCGTTATGGTCTTAGAAAATGAAAATATCAGAAGTAACTTTCATTAAGCCATCTTCTACTAAAGAGAATAAAACTGACATTTTCTTTAAAGTAGAATGTATTTAAATTGGTCAATCCTCTAGTGTTTCTGAAACAGACTATTATAATATTCTTTATTTTTTAAAATATATTTTATTGATTTTTTTTACAGAGAGGAAGGGAGGAGAGAGCTAGAAACATCGATGAGAGAGACATCGACTAGCTGCCTCCTGCACACCCCTCTCCAGGGATGTGCCCGCAGCCAATGTTCATGCTCTTGACCGGAATCAAACCTGGGACCCTTCAGTCCACAGGCTGACGCTCTAACCACTGGGCCAAAACAGTTTCGGCGTAATATTCTTTTTGAGCAGTAATTTTTCTCCATTGGTATTCTTTTTTTTTTTTTTTTTAAATATATATTTTATTGATTTTGTACAGAGAGGAGGGACTTAGAAACATCGATGAGAGAGAGTCATCGATCAGCTGCCTCCTGCACACCCCCCACTGGGGTTCAAGCCCACAACCTGGGCATATGCTTTTAACTGGAATCGAACCCAGGACCCTTCAATCCACAGAGTGATGTGTGACAATCTATACACTGAGCCAAAGCAGTGAGGGCATTTATTTTTTTTAAACAGTTGTTTTCACTAGGCTTTTGGGGTACTCCTTGGTTGTAGCTTTTCCTGAATTAGGTTTGGGCTTAAGAAATTTCTGATAAATTTAATACCTCATCACTTTTCTTCTGAATGTATCTTTTCATATATCATCCTGCAGTGCAGCAATGTGAATTTAGTGAAAATGGTAGGAGAGAACTAATTATTATTATTGTTTTTAAAAATCTTTTTATTGGTTTTAAAGAGGGAGGGAAAAGGAGGGAGAGAGAAACATCTGCACGCCTCCTACTGGGAATGAGCCCACAATCCTTGCATGTGCCCTAGACTGGAATTGAACTTGGGATCCTTCAGGCCACAGGCCAATGCTCTATCCACTGAACCAAGGTGGCTAGGGCAAGAAGTAATTAGTAAATGGTTTTTTAATAAAGCTCAAAATAAAGGATAAAAAAACCATTATGTGAGAAATATGTTCTTGAACATTTGTATATAAATCAACTCCATGGTTTTGAGTAATAAGGAACATACTTTATTTGTTGCCTTTTAATTATTTTTATTACTCAAAAAAGCTTCATTTTTCTTGTTTAGCTTTTTGACCCGGCGCTTGTGCCTTCAACATGCTCACAACGATTTCCTGCTCCTCAAAAAGGCAAGCATGTTTGATCCCGTCACGGACACATTTAGCACACGTGGGCCCACCACCAGCCCCGTTAGACAACCTCCCTAGAACCTCAGGTCCACCAAGCGGGCCTAGCCACGGGCCACATGCGGATGTGGTGCTCCCCAGCCTTCTGGGTACACAGGGGAGCGGTTCCATCGCCAGGGGCTCGGGCAGCCTGTTTTGTCAGAGGCTGTATTGTTAGAGCCCGGCTGGTATGTTAAACACTGGGCCACTCTGAGTGCTTGAAGACACCGTCCCTGGAAGAGCTGGAAATTTTAAAAACGCTTTCACTTTTATTGACTTTAGAGAGAGAGAGGAGGGAGAAGTAACAGAGAAACATTGATTGGTTGCCTCCTGCACCCTGATGGGGATTGAGTCTACAACCAAGTATGTGCCCTGACTGGAAATCAAACTGGTGACCTCTTGATTCATGGGACAATGCTCAACCAATTGAGCCACACTGGCGAGGGCCGGAACCTATTTTAAGTAAGACTATGTATAATTTTTCAATTAATCTATCTTTTAAAAATACAGAAGCTGCCATCGTGGTGTAGTTAAAATGGCATTCGGCTTAAAACCTCTTATTTAGTAACTGAATGACATTAGTGAGCCACTTAGTCTCTCCACACATGAAGCATGTACCTACTTACCTCAGGAGGTCACTGTGAGTGTTCCGGGACTTTACACATGAAAGTGTACAGCCTATTATGTGCTAGGAACTTTGATATATATACATACACAAATGATTCAAATTTTGATTTTTCAGTTTTGTTTTAAGATTAGTGCTCCTGGTGCTACACTGTGTATATATCCATCAAATATATTTACTGTGTATCAGCCATTGCTGCTCTAGGGGTAGGAATCCGAAAAACAATGGTGCACATACAGGCAAACTCTGCCGTCACAAAACAAGCTAGAGGTGAAAACATCTCATAAACAAGCAAGCATATGGCATCAATCTTACAGACTGATATGATGTCAATATAGTACTCGTCATCCACACCAGAGGTTGGCGACGTAAGGAAGATGAATGCCAATGGGAGATGACAGCTACCACACGGCAGAGCGTTTCCCTGATGCCCTTCACCCTCTCGCACTTCCCCTTAGTGCAGGGGTGGGGAACCCTTTATCTGCCGCGGGCCATTGGATATTTGTGACATTACTCATGGGCCATACAAAATTACCAACTTAAAAATCAGCCTGCTGTATCTGGTCAAACATTTAATTAACTCACCCCTAATGCCTTGGCAGAGCCAGACCAAATGGTTTCTCAGGCCTTATGTGGCCTGAGGACCAGATGCTCCCCACACCTGCCTTAGAAGGTATTTCACCATTTCAATATTTTCTTCATTTTTATATTTTTAGTCAATAAGTCTCAGACAATCAATCTATGAAAGATGTTAATTAATAGGCAACTTGTTGGGTGGTGAAACTAAGACAGGTCTATCTCAAGAAAAGAAAAATCTCAAATAAATAATCTAACTTTACACTTAAAGGAACTAGAAAAAGAACAAGAAAAGAAAATCCAAAGCGAGTAGCATGAAGGGTAATAATAAAGATCAGAGGGGAAATAACTGAAATAGAGTCTAAAAAAATAATAAAAAGATCAATAAAAGGGCTGGTTCTTTGAAAAGATAAATAAGATTAACAAACTTTTAATCAGACTCATACAGAAAAAGAGAGGACCCAAATAAATAAAATCAGAAATGAAAGAGGAAAAGTAACAACATATACCAAAGAAATACAAAGAATTATAAGAAAATATTATGAACTAATTGGGCAATATGGGTAAAATGGATACATCCCTGGAAATATACAGTCTTCCAAAACTGAATCAGGAAGAATCAAGACCATCTGAATAAACTGATTACAACTAGTAAAACTGAAGTAGCAAACAAAAAACACCCAACAGCCTAGCCAGTTTGATTCAGTGCTTAGAGCATCGGCCCACAAACTGAAGGATCTCAGGTTTGATTCCGGTCAAGGGGATGCATCATGGCTGCAGGCTCAATCCCAGGCTCCTGATTAGGGAACCTGCAGGAGGCAACCAATTGATGTGTCTCTCTCACGCTGGTGTTTCTCTCTCGCTCCCTACCACTCTCTCTAAAAATCAATGAATAGAAAATATCCTGGAGTGAGGATTAACAAAAAGAAAACAAACAGAAAAATACCCAACAAGAATCCTAGACCAGCTGGCTTCACAGATGAATTTTACCAAACATTTAAAGAACTAACACCTATGTTTCCAAAACTATTCCAAAAAATTCAAGAGGAGAGGAGACTCCCAAGCTCAAATTAGAAAACCAGATAAAGACACTACAAAGAAATTAGACGCTAATATCCCTCATGAACATAAAACCTAAAATTTTTAATTAAAGCAAACTGGATCCAGCAATACAGTGTAAAAGATTATATATTATGATCAAGTGAGATTTATTCCAGGATGCAAAGTTGGTATAATATACACAAACGAAGTTAATGTGATATACCATATAAACAAAATGAAGGATAAAACCACATGATCATATCAAAAGGTGCAGAAAAAGTATTTGATAAAATCCAGCACCCATCTATAGTAATAAAAGTGTAATATGCTAATTACACTGGACAGCCGGACAACTTTCCAGATGGCCTTCTGGACAAAGCCAAGGCTGCAAGGACCGAGCCCCTTGCATGAATTTTGTGCATTGGGCCTCTAGTTTATGATAAAAACAAAACAGCTCAGCAAAATAGAGAGGAAATATACTTCAACATAATTAAGGCCATATATGAAAAACCTACAGCCAACATCATAGTCAATTGGCAAAAACTAAAAGCATTTCCTTTAAGATCAGGAACATGACTGGGATGTCTGCTTTCATCACTCTAACTCAACACAAGTACTGGAAGTCCTAGCCCAGCAATCAGATGAGAAGAATAAATAGAAGACATCAATAACTGGAAAGGCAAAAAATAAAACTGTCATTATTTGCAAGTGACATGATACTGTATATTAAAAACCCTAAAGATTCCACCAAAAATTACTAGAACTAATTACATGTAATAAAGGATGTAAAAGATCTATACTCAGAACATAGTAAGACACTGAAGAAAGAAACCGAAGAGACAAATAAGTGGAAACATATACCCTGTTCATGAACAGGAAAAATTAACATAATTAAAATGTCCATAGTATCTAAAGCAATATAGATTCAACACCAATTCCAATCAAGATACCAATGGCTATTTCACAGAAATAAAACAAATATTCCAAAAATTCACATGGACACCAAAAAAGGCTCCAAACAGCAACAGAGATCTTGGGAAAGAAGAACAAAGTTGGAGGAATCACCCCACCTGATATCAAACTATACTACAAGGCCATAGTAACCAAAACAGCATGATACTGGCATAAAAACAGACACACTGATCAATGGAACAGAATAGAGAGCCCAGGAGTAAATCCATGTCTTTATAGTCAATTAATACTTGATAAAGGAGGCAAAAACATACAATGGGGCAAAGGTATTTTATTCAATAAATGGTGTTGGGAATATTGGCCAGATATGTACCAAAAAATGAAATGACATCATACACAAGAATAAGATCAAAATGGATTTAAGACTTAAATATTAGAATCCAAACCAAACTAAAACATTTTTGCACAGCAAAGGAGACCATCAGCAAAATGAAGACAACCCAATGAATGGGAGAACATATTTGCTGAAGATTTATCTGATAAGGTGTTAATATCCAAATTTATAAAGAACTTACAGAACTCAACACCAAACCCCCCCCCCCAAACAATCCAATTTAAAAATGAGCAAAGGACCTAAATGGACAGTTCTCCAGAGAGGACATATAGATGAGCAATAAACATCTGAAAAGATGCTCAATGTCACAAGTCATCAGAGAAATGGAAACTAAAACCAGAATGTCACCTCACACCTGTGAGAATGGCTATCATCAATAAATCAACAAACAACAAGTGTTGGGGAGGATGTGGAGAAAAAGGAGCCTTGTTCGTGCACTGCTGGTTTAAATGCAGATTGGTGCAGCCACTGTGGAAAAGCAGTATGGAGCTACCTAAAAAAAAAAAAAAAAAAAAAAAAAAAAAAAAAAAAAAAAAAAAAGGCAGTGCCTTATGATTCCATTTCTGGGAATTTATCTGAAGGAACCCAAAACACTAATTCGAAAGAATACGTGCACCCCTATGTTCACACGGCAGCATTATTACAACAGCCAAGACACAGAAGCAGCTCAGGTGTCCATTAATAGATGAGTGGATAAAAAAGCTGTAGGTGCCTTTACACCATGGACTACTACTAAGCCATAAAAAAGGAAATCTTACCCTTTGCAACAAAATGGATGGACCTGGAGAGCATTATGCTAAGTGAAATAAGCGAGTTAGAGAAAAGATAAATACCATATGATTTTACTCATATGTGGAATCTAGTAAACAAAATGGAACTAACAAGCAAAATAGTGAGAGACTCACAGACAGAGAGTAGGCTGACAGCTGGGGGTGGGAGTAGGGGGAGAGGAGAGGGCTGGGTGGGGTGGGGTGGATGTATTGAGCCAAAAAAGAAAAAAACCCTCATGGACAGGAATAACAGTGTAGTGACTGCTGGGGGGTGGGGAGGGGGTAGGAGGAGTGTGGAGGGAGGTGGAAGGAGGTAGGGGAGGGTAAAGGAGGATAAATGGTGCTGGATGGAGACTTGATTTGGGATGGTAAACATAATACAGTGTACAGGCTACATGCTGTAGAATTATGCACCTGAAACCTTTATAATTTTGTTAACCAGTGTCACTCCAATAAATTCAATAAAAAGAAAAAGGAAAATAAAAAAGTAGAAAAATTCTAGTTGCACTGATAAAAAATGTAAGTGTACATTTCTAACGTGTTTTTAAAGTTAGTAAATATATAATTCAGAAAACAGACATTAATATAGAAATATTCTTGACTTTCAATAATGTTCACTTATACTTGTATATGCAACTGGTTTTTAATCTTTAAAATAACAATTGCTTAACTTTAATGCACAGACTTCTAGTACAAAGAAACAACTTAGAAAGTAGTTCCTTTTATTGTTCTTAATTTCTGTCAGTATATTCCTATTCAAACATCTCTCCATGTTTAAGAAAGTCACTGAAGAGACAACGTTACCTGAATGTGGAATCTCTGTAGAAATGGCAAACCACATTTTTACTCTCCTTGACTTCTTGAAAGAAGTCTCTCTCACTAGGGATTTCTCTGTATTCCCCATGTCCTTTTGAAAGCCATTCCTGATTTGAAGGAAAGGGAAATGTTACACATTTGAAATTATTTCTTTTAGTACCAGTTTACAGTGGGTGGACAATTCAGCAAAATACAGGTGAGGCAAAAGTTTATACTTGTGAATGTGTGACAGTTTATTTTTGTATTTAATTAGTGTATTATTTTACATAGGAACTATCTATATAAATTATTTTTGCCCCACCCTGTACTTTGTAATGTAGTTGATTTTATCCTGTAGAGCAGTGTTTCCCAAACTTTTGACAGATGTGTACCCCTTCTATAATTTTCGTAACGCTGAGTACCCCTCGTACTCATGAGAACGTAGAATTAGGCGCAACTAAGCACGGTGCAGTGCATATCCCCACCAAACTCTTCCTGTACCGCTGGGGGTACGCGTACCACACTTTGGGAAACACTGCTGTAGAGAAAGGAATTCCTTTCAGTGACTTACTTTCCTAGGTTTCTAGTGTCCATGCAGAAGTAGTGTGGGTATCTTCACAGCCCGGCTCATATTTATGACAATAACCTGTCTTGGTAACTTAGAATATGTTTTAGTAGAACTTTAAAAATAAAAATTTAGACTCATGAGACTTAGAATGTGCAATCTATTTAATTTCTCTGTATTCAAACTACTAAAATCAGAAGCATTTGATTCAAATTACTAAAAAGCTTTCATAAATAATGCTCATGAGATAAAGCCAGTCTTTGGGGACAGGGAAAGAAAAAAGGGGGGGTGTTACTGCAGCTCTGATGCTCAGGGGCCCTGCCTACTGTCCATGACCAGCAGGGAGAGGCAGGAACTCCCTATACTGGTGGCCAATGGGCAGTGTCCTAGAAGCATTGTCTATCAGTGTCCAGAAACAACAAAGATCTCACAAGTCACGTAATCCAACTTCCCAAACCAAGATGTCAACCCTTATTAGCACGCCTGGCAGGCCTTCCAGCCTCTGACTTTCCTGTGACAAGAAGCTTCTCCGACAACGGGCAGCCTGTTTCCTGTCCAGGCCGTTAGTTTTAATAAAAAGGGAACTGGGCTTGAAAAATGGTTCTACAGCTTATCAGGCTATGAATTCTAACAACGTTTCTGAGCCCCAACCTCTTCAGGTGTAAGTGGAGATCATGGAGCATTGACCTCACTGAGCAGTTGTGAAAATAAAGACACTCAACATGAAGATAAGTAAAACAGTGCCTGACAAATGTGCCTAGGAAGCATTTGTGTATGCACTAGTGCTAATTTTTAGGTTTCTCACACTGAAGTACTCGATATCTCTAACTTCAGTCCGTGGATCCCAGCTTGAACCCGAGATTAGAAAGAAAAGTTCTAATCTTTTCTTTGGCCCTTCAAATAGCACATCTCACCCATGTCCTCCCTTCTCTACACTGAAATCTCCATTTCCTTTTGACCATTTCTCACATGAAACAGTATCAAGACTTCCTCTTCTGGTTGTCCTCTGAACACAGTCTGACTCCTCCATGCTCTTTTAAAACTGGCAGAGGTCTGAATGCAGCCTCCAGAAGTCCCACTAGCAGGCGGCAGGAACGCCCTCTCCTTCCCGCCTCCGCCCTGAAGCTGCAGCAGCCCAGGCGCAGGATCCATGTCACCCCGCTTCCCTGTAGCGGGCACTCACAAGGCCCCGAGACCTTTGCCTTACGTGACATTTCTTCGGTAAAGCTCCTATAACAGTTCCACCTCTCAAATACAATTCCTTAAAGTGATATGTGACATTTCATGATTCCTTTCTTTACTTGCCAATGACCTGTGCGCTTAAAACAGTATTTTTGTTTCTTAAAATAGAAAATAATGAACAAAATTTTCATCCTATTTCTTACCTTGTCCTTCTGCTCTTTACCTACGTCCTACGTCTCTAGCTGCCACAGGAGGGGGTGCTTGGCTGACTGAGGAATAGTGACTAACAAAGGTCTCTTAAGTACTTATGTCACTGTTTACATTGGTTTCCCCAATATCTTCATGAATCAGAAAAATCAACATTACTATATACAATCTACTCTTCCAAAAAGAATGGCTATAAAAACCATTAAGGCTTCTTGCCTATTTCCTCAGAAAACTCCTAAGAAAACATGCTAACAACAACAACAACAAAAAGATCTATTAAAATGCAGTGAAGCCCAGCTGGCGTGGCTCGGTGGTTGAGTGTTGACCTATGAACCAGGAGGTCATGATTCAATTCCTCCTGGTCAGCGCACATGTGGGGGTTGCAGGGTGGATCCCCAGTAGGGGGCATGAGTTACTCCATGACAAATTCATTTTAAATTGATTTGTATATTAATAAAAAAAATGTCTAAAGGCTGCCTGCTTTAATTGTTTTTTTTTTTTTAATTATAAATACCAGCCTATTGTTTACTGCTGGACAACTTATTTTAAGACATTGAATATGTTCCTCACTGCAAATCAGGTAGATAGACTTCTACCAAAATACCCTGTATGACAACTTTTTCCTAGTTGAGCATTGGCAATGAGTTTAGCGCTTATGTCATTGGCTCTGAGCACGCTAACCTATGACAGGCTGGCTTCACTGCCGAAAGGGAACCACTGCCTCCTGCTGCTGCGTGCTCTTCCCAGTGCATCACAACCACACAAATCCCGCTCAGAAAACGATCCTGGGCGCGCATTTGTTTTACTTGACTGTAGACTAATACATTGAGCAAGCTGATTTTGAATGTGCCTTTAAAGCTAATTTTTATCCAGCCAAATTTTTAATAGTGATAGGTAATTTGAGGTAAAAAAAGAAAAGAAAAAGAAAAACACCTTAAAAATGAGGACCTGTAATGTAACTACTGGCACATGTGTACATTTGCTAGGCGCACACTGTTAAGTAATTTCAGAAAGCAGGGCAGGGAGGTTACTTGTTTCTGCTGCTGAGCTTTCTTTAGGGCCTTAAGTCTCTTTTCTTTGAGAAGTTCCAGTTCATCCTCGTCCATCTGGTCCATTTTCTGAATTTCAGCATCCAAACGTTCTTCCACTAGTTTAGTGGTCTGAAGCAACTGATTTTCCAGGACTTTTGAAAACATGTCGGCAGATGTATGAGCTTCCATTCTTTACAGTTCAGCCTTGCTGCTGGGGAGAAGGTTTACAAAGTTAGAAATATTTTTAAAAAATTCCAGGAAGTGCATACTTCGTAATTCACAAAGTGTTCTACTGACAATCAAGCACTTCAGGAAGTTAGGCTTTTTAATAGATTATAGTCACAGCACTCAAAAAATGATTCAGAGCAAAGTTTAGGTGCTCCTGATTTAGTTTTTGTCTTATTATATGAGACCAGAGAAAAATGAGTAGGTGGGAGTTATAGTAGTTGGAACTATAGCTAGTGATATATATTGACAATCATTATTCTTTACCAAAGAAAGAGAAGCAAAATACAAATGACTAAATTGTTGTAAGGTTGTACACATACACAGAGATACCAAACTTCGCTTTAACACAGAGCAGAGTTGAGCAAAAGACACATTTTCATGGTCTCTGCTCATGATTTCCATCTCTTTAACTCCTCCGAAAGGCAATTACAACTTATGTAAAAAATGATGCCTGGTGTTCCCTAAGCATAGGTTTCCATTCCTTTTCTCCCATTACCTAACAAAATCTAGGAGGCCACAAGATTGATATTGGTATTGATTTATTGACACTCATAGTGTTCTTAGCTTTGATGTAAAACAATGTAATAGTCTATTTTTGACTTTTCCATTACTCTTCTGTGTAAGATAGGCTTTTGTAAACATATTCTAATTCAGGTTACAAAGGAAGATCTCAATTACATTGGTTTTAAAGAATTGTCCTGCCCTAGCCCGGCAGCTCAGTTGGTTCGAGTATCAGCCCCATATGAAAAGGTTGCAGGTTCAAACTCCTGTCAGGGCACTCACAAGAAGTAACCAGCGAACGCATACATAAGTGAAACAACAAATGAATGATTCTGTTTTTCTAAAAAAAAGATAAAAAAAATTCTTTAAAAAGAAATGTATTATTTTCCACCAGCAACAAACAGATGAAGATCTTTATATGTAGACCTGGGTTACTACAGAAATATATTTTATAAGTTTTCTATCAAAGCAGGAGGCTGTTGCATCTCAACTACTTACATACATCTGCAAATACTAAAGAAGCACTTTAAAATATCTGAAGGAGCCCTGGCCAGTGTTTCTAAATAGTTAGAGCTTCAGCCTGTGCACTGAAAGGTCTTGGGTTTGATTCCTGGTAAAGGGCACTGCAGTGTTGCAGGTTCGATCCCCATTCAGGAGGCAACCAATCGATGTTTCTCTCTCTTTCCTCCCTCTCCCCTTCCTTCGGCTCTCTCAAAAATTCACTGGAAAAAGTATCTTAGGTGAGGATTAACAAAAAAATCGGAATATACTGTGATCTCATCCACCAGCTTCTGTGGAACTGAAGATAGTCTTCCTGCAAACTTCACTTTTGATTCCTTCTTCTCCAAAGAAAAAGCAGTTGAAATGCACCTTCAGTTCATCTTTATATCTCTAGAGCTAGCAATGTCAGGGGCACAACAGGTGCTCAAAAAGTATTTAACTTTGGCCCCGGTGTGGCTCTGTGGATGGAGCACTGCCCTGTGGACCGAAGTGTCCTGGGTTCATTTTGGTTGCAGGCTCCTCCCGGGCCTGGGCGCTGCTCAGGGGCACATGCAGGGGGCAACCAATCAATGTCTCTCACATCAATGTTTCCCTCTCTCTAAACTCAATGGGGAAAATTAACTTTGAATGAACCAACTGTTAGTTCCTCAGTGCTATGAAATTTTAAAGGAGCTGTATTTTATATGTAATAAAAGAACTTAACATTCCGTACCTCCCAAGAAAAATGTCAGGGAGATTGTGACTTTACAGGGGCTAGATGAGGCAGAAAACTGAATACTAAACCCTGACTTGCTTGTCAGAACCTGTTGACGGGGGCATATAGAATTGATACCGACACAATGGGTCAGAGGCTGCCTGTCACCACTTGAGCCAAATTAAGCAGAGACAGGGTTGAATAATGAGCGAGCGTTTATTCCAATAATGCCGGCAGTTTGGGGAGAACACTCACTCACCTGGAAATTCTGCTCTGACCCCCGTCACCAGTGGGCTGATTATATTAGGACTAGAGGCCAGGTGCACAAGATTCATGCAGGGAGGAGTGGGGAGGGTCCCTCAGCCCAGCCTGCACTCTCTGGCAATCCAGGACCCCTCAAAGGATGTCTGATTGCCAGTTTAGGCCCGACTCTGTGGGATCAGGCCTAAACTGGCAGTCAGACATTCCTCTCGAAATCTGGGACTGCTGGTTCCTAACCATTTGCCTGCCTGCCTGATCACCCCTAACCACTCTGCTTGCCTGCTTGATTGCTCCTAACCCCCTCTGTCTCAGCCCCCAGGGCTTCATTGAACAATCTTCTGGACATCATTCCGGATGAAGCCCTGGGGGCTGAGACAGAGGTGGTTAGCATATTACGCTTTTATTATTATAGATGATGAAAAAGATAACTACGTGTAGCTGCAAGTGTAACAGGGAAAGGGAGGGTCTTGCCTTCAGGAGCTCAAAGTCTGATAATAAGATGGCATCTTTTCTTTCTTTCTTTTAAGCTTTATTTATTTATTTTTAGTTAATCCTCATCAAAGGATATTTTTTCCATTGATTTTTTAGAGAGTGGAAGAAAGAGGGAGAGACAGAGAGAAACATCGGTGTGAGAGACCACTGACTGGTTGCCTCCTGCTTGAACCCCAACCAGGGCGGGGAACCTGCAACCAAGATATGTGCCTTTGACCAGAATCGAACCCGAACCTTTCAATCCAAGACCAACTCTTTATCCACTGAGCCAAACCGCCTAAGGCGGCTAGTCTTCTGTGATGCTACGAATAGTTCATTGGGACTGGAGAATGATCAGCATTCCTGAAGCGAACTCCCGGAGGGGGTCAGGGTCCAGGTACAGCAACCAAATCAAAGAGTCCTGTCCTTGGTCTGTTTTTAAAATGTATTTCTTCTTACAGCCCTGTTTTTCTTGCAACACATCCTATATTTTCCCGGCGTCTGTAAAACTCCTATCTATAGTAATTAAACAACTGTGGCTCTATTCTTATTAAGTGCCCTTCCCCCTTTTATGATGAATTCAGAATTTAATGCTGGGATAATTTGTAGCAGAAATGGCTAACAAGGGCTGCTGGGGAGGAGGAGGGGCAGGTGATGGTATTTACCGCAGCGAAAGGGGTAAGGTCAGATGGTTTAGCAATCCTGATGACTCTCTATTCTTTAAACCACAAGCAGTTGATTATTCCATTTTTCAGTTCAACTGGAACGGTGGGAAAGGACTTGTCCTCATATTACCTTACCACTTCCTTGATCCGCCTACGTACACCAACCCAAACCACCAAGAGTCCTCCGCCTACGTACCTTCCCCAGGTATCTTCCCCGAAGTCTCCGGCCACTCCCGGAGCCTCCCCGGAACAGAGGAGGGCAGAGTTCAGGAGGCCCCCGCCTTCAACGCCTCCCAAGGCGCAGGCTCCAAAACTGTCACCACAGCACGGACACCGGCACCGGCGCCGCGCCCCTCCCCCGCCCGGGAGGATGCTGAGCCGCAGTGTGTCCATCAGCACTGGGCCGCGGTGCCCGTTTTCTTAACACCATCTCTGCCTCACCTGCGCTCTCGGAGATACCTGAGAAGTGACGGACCAGCGGCTCCAGAAGAACAATCCACCCCGACTTCAGCCTCGCAGCAGCGGACGATGGCTACGAAGCAGTCGTCACTTCCGCCTCTAGATGGACTGAGGCGCGATTGTGCTTTACAGCCTGCGACGCTAGAGGAAGTGACGGCAGAGGAAGGCGGGCGAGAGGCTGGAGCTGACGTGTGTGCTCCGCCCATACAGCGGCCCATTTCCGGTCCGAGGCTTAAACAGTCCAGAGGACGCGGGAGCAAAGTATGCTGGGAGTTGTAGTTTTTTAGCGCTTAGTTGGAGTTGTCTGTAGGCTCTGGACCTCAGTAATGTTATGTCAGAAATAGCATTGCTCAAGAGTGACACTCCAACTTCGTTTCCATCCTGTCTATTGAACATGTTAAAAAGTTGAATTTTAACATACAACATGATTAGTTTGTATGTAGTTAACACTCATAATGTCACTGACCAGATCGTTATAGCAAATTTTCACCACCTTCCTGAGTTCCCTCATGACGTCCCTAACAAATTTTTAGAACTTGTTTTAGTCAACGACCTATTTGGAGAACTTAATGCGTGTGTCCTTTTTTTATTTGTTTTTTAATGTTGTACGTGCTTCCTAATACAGGGAGTCACTGAGAAGGGAAATAAATCCAGGACAAAATTGGATTTATTTCCCTAGGAATAACCAGCGCGCTTATCTTTGATTCATTGTGATTCTTTACTGAATTTCGAGCAGCTGAGACAAAGGTGGAAAGATGGAAAGGAAGCCCAGCTCAATCAAGTTCGGCTTCCGACCGGGCTCCAATTCTCCAAGTCTGCGTCCCCCCGCGGCGAGGGGCCAACCTGGGGAATTTTCAGCTTCATTGTCAGCCAGTGGGTTCTAGAACCTGGAAATCTCGCGGGCGTCGATGCGCGGCGGATGCTTGCGGGAAGGGGGCGCTCGGGCTCCGGCCTGGACGGCGGGTGCAGTGGAGACGCTCTACCCCAAGGGCAGCTCTCGTTGAGCCACGCCCTGCGTCCGCACGCCGCGGCGGCGGAAGATGCGCCTGCGCACTGCGAGCCCACACCATATGTGCCCTGTCCCAGTGCGCGGGTCTGTGCGGAGCCGGGTGCGAGCGGCGGCAGCGCGGGGCGAGCGGAGCGGAGTGGAGCCCGAAGTCGGCGGGGGAAAAGGGGATCTGTGAGAGAGCGAAGAGCGGGGCTGGGGCCGCGAGCGCCGCTGTCACGCGATGGGGAAGAAGCAGAAAAACAAGAGCGAAGACAGGTAAGTCAGTATCTGTGTCCGCTCGGCAGCGGCCGGTGCGGCTGAGGCGGTCGTTCGGGTCCCACCGGCTGGGGGTGGACCGGGGTGGAGGCTCGAGACCGGCCTCGCAGGGCGCCGGGCCTGGGCCCTGAGTGGGCGCCGCGGGCCCGAGACCCCAGTCCCAGGCGGGCGCGGAGGGCCTCGGCGGCTGGCGAGTTCCTCAGGCAAGACTCAGTCCCACCTCTCCCGCCGCCCGGCCGGGAAAAGGGGGTCCGGCCTGAGGAGCGGGCGGTGGCGTCGGGGCTCCCGGCGCGCGCGGCCCGGTGGTCGGGTTCTGCGGCGCCGCTCTAGGCGGGGGTCAGGAGTTCTCAGGGCCTTTGTACCTGCGAGGACAGGGGAGCGAAGGGAGTGCGAATCACTACCTGTACCCGGGTTTCCCCACTTTTGAGCCTCTCAGGTACGTCGGAGGTGTCTTACACTCACCTCCCTCTTCACTTCATCTAATTTGTGAGGTAGAGTTCTCAATTATTTAAGGGCTGGCTGTCCAGACTCCATGCTTTTCGCTTTCCTCCTTCCGGCCAGTCTTTTGATGATTTCTTTGCTCTCTAGCACCTCCCCTAAGAAAGGAGGCGGAGATGGAACCAACCAACCAGGGGCGCTCCTTTCTCGTCACTTCAGAGGCTTTTGGGGGAGGGAGCACCCCGAGATTTCGGTAACTTCTGTGTCACATTCGATGGAGTCTTTTACTCTCTTCATTGAAAGAGTTTACTTCCTGGGGGGAACAACATCAGTTCCTTTTCGCTTTTGTTCTAGTGTGCCGCTCACCAAACTTAGTTCAAATACTCGGGGAAGAGGGGGTAAAGTAAGGTAAATTAAGACAGTAACAACCCCTGGTAGTTCATCATTCTGACTCAAAACGGACATGTTGAAGTTAAAATAAGATCACTAATTATAAGTTGGAATGCCAGGTCGTTTCCTCACTTAGCACTCATCTAGTTGATGAGTGGAATTAAAAGATACCCAGGTGAGGCTTGTTTTTCAGTTACAGCTCCACTGGAGGAAGTTAATTGGCTTGACTTATTTATTAATCAAACAGGATACGTACAAAAAAAAAAAAAAAGCTGGGTGATTTAGTGGAACAAAATTTTCCCACTTTTGCTAGGATGTTTTGATGCACGGGATATATTTTCTTCTTTCAACTGTGTACACAAAATAGATGAGGATAAAAAGCTTCGTGTACCAGGTACCCAGCTTCACCCATGGATATCACATTGTCAATCCTGTTTCACCCACCTGTTGCATATTTTATTTTTAAAAATATATTTTTATTGATTTCAGAGAGGAAGGGAGAGAGAGAGAGGTAGAAATATCCATGAGAGAATCATCTTTTGGCTATCTCCTACACATCCCATGCTGAGGATCGAACCGCAACCTGGTCATGGGCCCTGACCTGGAATCAAATTGTGACCTGGTTCATAGGGCAACACTCAACCACTGAGCCACGACTGCCAGGCCTGCCTTGTTGGATGGAGATATATATATATAATATTTTTATTGATTTCAGAGAGAGAGAGAAATATCAATGATGAGAGAATCATTGATCGGCTGCCTTCTGCACGCCCCCCACTGGGGATTCAATCCGCAACCTGGGCATGTGCCCTTGACTGGAATCCAACCTGGGACCCTTCCGTCCACAAGTCCACACTATTCTTTGAGCCAAACCCTGGGGCTTGGGCCCTTGTTGGATATTTTAAAGTAAACCTCAGAATCCGTTCATGAGTAAATTCTTTAGGTGTATTTGAAAGATAATATTTGAGGGGAAAAACCTGTTGAAACAGAACAAAACACAACTGCAATGCCACTGTCAAACCTAGGGAATATTTACAGTGTTTTCTTAAATATTATCAAGTATGCAGCCAATTTTCTAATTTCAATGATTCTCTTATTTAAAAAAAAGTTTTTAAGCAGTTGGTTTGGTTCAGGATTACAGAAGTCTTTTATTTTTAAAAGAACATATAATATATTGTTTCACTTACAGTTTTTATCTTTCAGACTCACAATAGAGAAAATATTCAGAGGGGTGAATTTTACTGTCTATTTTTAGAGGAAATTGTGTCTTTTATTGATTCATAAAGATTTTCATGGATGATATAAAGTTTAAATTGCAAACATTGGAGCCTGTTGTTAAAAGACTGGTTTGGAAGTGTAGAAGGAATACTCCTGTTATTTGGGGAGTGTTTTTGTTTTGTTTTTATCCCAGCTCAGACTTATCTGTAGTCTTTATTTTTGGCTCACAATGAAAGGAAAGTGGTGTCCATGTAATTGAAAGGGTTTTCTCATGTTTTCCTTCATGGCTTCCTTTGCTTGATGCTGCTCAAATTGTATGTAATACGTCCTAGGGTTTTGCAGAAAGTCCTCCTTGACCAGAATTGCTGGGCCTTAATACTTTGTTCCACATTAGTAGATATTTTGGAGTGGGGGAAAGAAGTTTCACTGCTTTGTTACTTTACTTTGACTTTTGTATATTTAAATAGTATGGGCATACTTAGTTTTATTTTTCTTTGCACATGCTATTGCATTTTTCTCTTTTTCTTCTTCTTCTTCTTCTTCTTCTTCTTCTTCTTCTTCTTCTTTTTTTTTTTTTTTTTTTTTTTTAACAAATTAAAGTCAAGATCCTCCAGCAAAAAAGATTGACTTGCTTAGTTGATAGTATATTTAGATATTACCTGGTTTTCATCTCTTGTATAAAGATTTCCACTTTTAAAGGTTTTACATTCATCCCACCTCTTCCCTAACCAAGCTCTCCTAAGTAGAGCATGTTTCTGGCCAGGTAGAATTGGGTGAGAAATGAGCAGCTTATTAGTTACAAGATACTGAGCTACTTTTCAGTTCTTGTAAAGAGCATAAATTACTTGACTGTTTCAATTCTTATCTATCTACATCTATCTACCTACCTACCTATCATCTATATAAAAGCTTAAGTGACCATTATGACCAAAGGACTGGATGATCAGACTTCTGGGTGGTAGCTATGATGCGCACTGACCATCAGGGGGCAGACTCTCAATGCAGGAGCTACCTCCTATTAGTGCACTCCCACAGCCAACCTCCTGTGGGTAGCAGACCTCCCACAGTCCCTTCCCCTGGCTGGCCCTGATTGGGACTGGGCGAGATGGCCCCAATTGGCCAGGAGGGAACCTACCCATGCACAATGTCGTGTTCTGGGCCAGCCTGATCACCCCCTATCCACTCCCCTGCCAGCCTAATTGATGCCTAACTGCTCCCCTGCCAGTCTGTTTGCCCCTAAGTGCCCTCTCCTGCAGGCCTGGGTTCCCCCCAACTGCCCTCCCCTGCAGGCCCGGTTGCCCCCAACTTTCCTCCTCTGCTGGCCTGGTTACCCCTAACTGCCCTCCCCTGCAGGTTTAATCACCCCTAACTACCCTCTCTTGCAGGCCTGGTCCCTCCCAACTGCCTTCCCCTGCTGGTCATCTTGTGTCCACATGGGGGCAGCCATCTTGTGTGTTGCAGTGATGGTCAATCTGCATATTACTCTTTAATTAGATAGGATAGAGGCCTGGTTCACGGGTGGGGGCCAGCTGGTTTGCCCTGAAGGGTGTCCCGGATCAGGGTGGGGGTTTTCTTAGAGTGTGGGGCGGCCTGGGCGATGGGCCTGTGGTGGTTTGCAGGCTGGCTGTGCTCCCTGGAGACCCAAGCAGAGGCCCTGGTATCTGGGATTTAATTATCTTCTACAATTGAAACTTTGTAGCCTGGAGTGGAGCCCAGCTTCCTGCTCGATCTGTGGGGATAGCCATTTCTGTTGGGATTTATTTATCTTCTATAATTGAAACTGTGTAGCCTTGAGTGGAGGCCTGGGCCCG